GGCCATTGTCCTCTGACCTCGGGGCTTCAACAAGGCACTTTTTCCCCAGAGAACCACTGCTCACTAGATATTTTCTCTTTTTCAGACCATTCTCTGTAAACCCTAGAGATGTTTGTACATGTAGATCCCAGTACATCAGCAGTTTCTGACATAGTCAGACCAGCCTGTCTGGCACCAACAACCATATCATGTTCAAAGTTACTTATTTCACCTTTCTTTCCCATTCTGATGCTAACTTTGAAAAGATCAGCTTGACCATGTCTACATTCCTAAATGCACTGAGTTGCTGCCATGTGATTGGCTGATGAGATATTTGCGTTAATGAGCAGTTAACAGGTGTACCTAATAAAGTGGCCGGTGAGTGTATAATGCTATCTTATGAGATCATGAGCATCAGGTCAAGGAGTAAGCACAGTACTGATCACTTCTCATGACTCATGACTCCAGTATCTACTCCGTACTCTACTCCATTTTTTTCCTCCATAATCTACTACACGAGTCATGAGTCACTGTAAAGATCCATTAAGTCAGGATTGACCTTCATGTACCTTTATTGCCATTTAATCAACTTTTTATAGACTGTGTAATCTTTGCTCCATATTCTTTTTTCTGCTCTCTACCAGTGCAATATTCTACATACTCTACTGTCTTTTTCCATATTCTGTTACACTGTTCCTCTACCAGTTTTTGACATTTAGCAGTTTAAAAGCATTTGTTCCAATCAAACATGGCACTGGTTGATTTCACAGATTCATGCAGAGAGGAAGATCTAATCAGTGAAATCCACTGGTAAAGTGATTGGTTGGAACAAAGCCCTGCAATCTCCCGGGCCTTGATGGCACATGGATGAGAACCAACGCTTCACACCAGTCTTTGGAAAGTTGTTTTATTCTACACAGTCCATGCTGTCTGCTCCATATCCTCTGAATAGAGCAGATCAGCTCATGCCAAAGCAGTGTCCATATTTCCATCAGAGCTGTCCCCCCCATTGCAGTGGGCTTTCACTCAGTGTTGGACACGCTGTCAGCAACAAGGAGCTGTCCAGGCAGTGACGCTGTCCACAGTGTCAGCAGCCTACTGCCTGTTCTTTCATGTTGAAGGATTTATGAATGTTGTAAACCTAGTGGGAAGTTTAAATGCCTTTACACGCATTTTACAACTTGACAGCTTATGAATGTGATGCATTCTGTAAAAGACTGACGTAATAATATTAATGATAAAACTGATCTTTTAATCATGGATTCAATGCAAATCAAAGTGCATTATTTTGCATTAGATGAAACAAAGTATTTAAAAATGAATTGCTTAAAAGATTATATAGATTTTTCACCCAAATGACTTTTCAAACCTTTATAAAGTTGATAAAGTATTTATAAATCAATTTAAATTTTATGAAACAGTAAAAAAAAATTGTTTAGCATTGATTCACATTCAGTGCACATTTTGCATAGCAGTTTTTGTTTGTGTTGATGCACAACTTTTTATTTCTCAAGCTTTGATGTTGCAAGCACTCTCCAGAAACTTGTACTTTTTCAAAACTCTCAAGGACTTTTCTCTAAGGATTAAGTCTTTTGAATGCTTTTGCTCTTAGAGATATGAGACACTCTTCAGCCCTCCACAGGATTCCAGCTGTAATTCTAGTGCAACCAGTCCTGTTATTTTGAAAGATTCCTCTCCACCTGACTGGAAACAGGTCTGTTAGGGACTTACTGTTGAAGTTAGCCCTCGATCTTCAAATATATTTAACAGAGTCACTAAAAGCAACAAAAAAAGCTTTTTAAAAATTGAAAGAATTTGCTTTGTGATTAATATAAAAACTAGAAAGACTTGATCTTGAGTCATGGTTGTGTCATACAAAGAGAAGAAGCCAGGTGAGCGGCACAAGGCACTGAGACAATTTTTTCATCAGTATTCATCTCAACACTAGAAAAGCCAAGCCACCATATGCTGGTGGCTGGTTTGAATTAGACTATCTCGGCAATTAAAATGACCCCTCATTATTAGTCTCAACTATACTGTTAATTGTACATTTTGCAAAACATGCAAGAATTTTTTTTTTTCTGCTTACAAGTTAATAACTTTCTCTGTTACCTCCTAAAATCCACTGTGCTTTAGAGCTCAGGCCAACAGAGGTGTCACAGTGCTTCTGGATTTTAGTATAGGCTGTTACATTTTCTACTATTTTTTTTTTTTTTTCAAAATGACAGCTTTAAGAAAATGAAATATTTCAGCTGTTGTTAAATATTTATGTCTTCAGTTGGACTCATTTGGCTTTGGGCTGAAAGGCACAGACAGCAAGTGGGAAATGTTTAAAGACTAAGAGATTGTTGGTTTTGGTGTTTTTTCATGGGATTTGTTAACTCTAGGAAAAACAGAGTTGTAGCTGCCTGGTAATTTAAAGCCCCTTTCAGAAGTATGTCAGTAATAATATTCAAAACTAAATCTTTATTATGTATTTAACACAAACTCTCATCTATTCTGTTTTACCAGGACTGGTTCATAAGAAACAGGAGCAACCAACCCATCACTTGTCCTCAGTTCTAGTTCACCTAATGCTTGGTTCTCACTGCTGCCGGAACGTATGTGATATATGTAACATTTTTCCAGTCAAGCCCACGTCAGTCCAGTGAGAAAAGAAATAGAATTCTGATTTTGATGAGAAAAAAAAATCACTTTCTGTATAGAAAATGATAAAGCAAACTAAAAAGTAAAAAGACAACATTTGAGTTAGCAATGAACAAAAAGGATGGTAATTTTAAATTACGAAAATATTTGAGAGAGCAGAATTGAAGTTCGTATTAGAGACACCACTGAAATATTTCTGCTGATCCTAATATTTATAAACTGTGCCTAAAAGCTAAAGCATCTTGAGGCATCTTAATCCAGGTATGGATATACTGTATGTGGATGCTCGGCATGTAAAATCCTGCTGGCACAGCTACAGTAAGGGATATATGATGTACCTGCTCTCCATGTTCTCACTGAAATCCTAGGATGCCTGTTTAGCAAGTCAAGGAAGAAGGAAGGAGTAAAGAAAGGAGGCATTCCTATTTTGTCTTCTCTTTATAAGTGGCTACAGCAGTGAGCAGACACTGAGCCAGGACTCTTTCAATAATAAAATATTTGTGTAGTGCTTATAGTTAAGGCACAACATAAACACTCTACAGGGGTTAATGTTTCCTGGAAGGTTTTTGGGGTAATCTCTGGAAAGAGCAGTAAAAAGGTGCACACCCAAGGCAGACCTAAATTATGCATTCGTTGTAGTCTGCCATGCCACAGTGGTGAACACCACAGGCTGTTTGGCCCACTGTCACAGCAGTGTGCTCTTGTAAACAAACTGAATTTATGTAACCTTGCTGACGGGTAGGAACAGTGGAGTCTGGGCTGGCTGGTGAGCGTGGCGCTCCCCATGTTTGGAGCCCAGTGGAAACAGTTATTATGGCTAGAAAGAGTGAACTCACTGCCTACAGTGGCAGCCAGCTTGTTTTGTTATATGGATGATGAAGTTGATGTATGGTCCCCTTGTATGTGTAGAACAGCCACAGTCTCACTGCCAAGTGATGAATAGCATCAATACTGTGGGCCATTGGAAAAGACTGGGGCACACGAGATCTCATCTGGACTCCTCTTTTCCACTTTCTCCATTTTCCATTTTGGCACGTTTCAAATAAATTGTATTGTTTTTCTTTGTGTTTTGTCCTTGGCTTCCTTCCTTCATTGTCCCTATATCTATAGACCCCACTCCCTTTGTGTGGCTGTTAATGAGCTAAAACATATGCAAGAGTGCACAGGAAACACTTGACAAAGCACTTTTGAAAGATTAAGGCTGACTAATGGCACAGTTTTGTCTAGCTGGCTTTGTCTTCCTCCTTTTCTTTCTGCATCTGTCCACCCGAGCAAGAGACTGAACACTGCAATAGAGGTGAGATTAGAATCGGATGTGAATTGAGCTGGAGATTGGTTTGTAGACTGAAAATGCCTGAGAATGGAAGATTGGATGGAAGTGGAAGGAAAAGTGGAGGACAGATGAACAATGAAAGAGAAGGTCACAGTTAAAAAGCCAATGTGATAGTAGAGCTGCTGGTGGGATGAAGGATGAGAATGATTGAGTGGCAGAATTCTCTCTGATATTTGCACAGAAAGTAACTATATAATGGCTCATGATTTTCTTCTTATCAAATCATTTATTTAGCCATTTAATTGTGTCTGAGTGTTCAGTGGCTGCTTTGAAAGCTAGCTGTTCTGTTTTAGGTTGCCCATTAAGGCACTCAGGGTCTTATGTGGCTTTCATTCCACATTTCATGTCATTAGTCACCTCCAAGTGACTTTAATGAGAAATTATCTTGTATAGGAGCCACAACCGGTTTTACCACGGCAGAATGAGCACTCTAATCCTTCCTAATGACTTGTGACAATTATCAGATCCTGAAACCTGTGGCTTGCTTGTCGGTTTCTAAGGCAGCTTATCAAAATAACTAATAAATGATGATCTAATGGCTAGGGTTTTATTTTTATGCCCCTGCACCAACCATAGCCAGTGCCAGAGGCATTATGTTTTCTAGTTGTCCATGCGGCCCATTCTTGTGAACACAAATTGTCGGGAATGCCTTGAGGAATTTCTTCAAATTTGGCACAAACTTACATTTAAGCTCAAGCTCATACAACTGTAAAGTGATAATTCTAGTTTTGACTTGTTTCACACTATGCCATATCAGTGTATTTGGGTTGCAGCATCTAAAAACTATCAATTGTTTTACAGTACTTTTATTTTGTTGACTGCACTCCATTTTCCAGAGTTTGGTATTGAATTATTTCCAAGCAGAGGGCTCCATCGATTGTCTGTTGCACTAGGTGTCAGAGAGGC